AGACAGACAGACAGACAGACAGACAGACAGACAGACAGACAGACAGATCCTGAACTGGTGGAGATAATTCTCTGTATCTTGGTTCCAGTCCCAAACTATTCAGTACCTGACAAACAATCATATTTGTTGGCAGGCAAAAGGCATTTTTCATTGATAAATGGTCACTAGTCTATACCCAATCAACTTCTTGTTACTAAGCAGAACTGTACCTGAATTCAATCTCTGGTCTTCCATTTGGCTGCAGTCATTCAATTACTGTTTTTAAATCATGCAGCCTTTCTTCCCCCCCACCCAAAACACTGGTTTTAAAACGTTCTCTCTCATTTCAATCCACAATTAAAAAAAAACACAATATACATTCCAATCTGAATTTATGAATTAAACCATGCCTCAAAACAGTGCCCTCTGCTTATCATTTCCCTAGAAACCATTCCTCCATATTTATCCTCTTACAATTACACCTCATCCCAAATTCTTCTATTAAAATTTCTCCTCACCTTCTCCTTTCCAAGGATAATGTAAACGTCTCGAGTTTCTCATATAATTAAAGTCTCATTTCCTTAGCACTAGTGCAAAAAATCCCGTTTGCATTCACTACTTGGCTCAGATGCCTTTTCTAAATTTATTGTGCTTTTATTTCGTAATTTTCCCATTCCACATATCTTTGGTTCACCTCTTTGTTTATCATTAAATTCATAATTTCTTTGGTAACAAAAGAAAGCTTTAAAAAGTTTCTCTTACCACGAAGATTACATTTAAGTCTGATCTCATCAAACAATGGAATCTCTGTCAATGATGTAGCACCACGTTCATTTTCAATTGCCCACTCCACCAATTGTTCTGAAGCTTTTGGAAGATTAGATACAACTGATGATTTCAATCCTGGCCAAGTTGCATGAATTCTGTGGGATAGCTGAGAAATTATGCAATGTTGTTACTCAAATCTGATTATCATTTATAATCAAAATGTCATTATTGAAGGCATCCTTCTAATTTTGTTTTGTCTGATGCCAAATTGGTTTACACTTGGAAAAAAGTGCATAATACACTTTCGTAACAACATTGATGAAATATAAAAATCAATTTTAACTTAAGTTGCTTACTGAATATTAAACTTTCCCATTTTAAGCATAATACATTAAAGAATATCAAGTATAATTGCAACATTTTGAAAAATAATATTAAATGAAAGACTACTATTTAATACTTATTCATGGAATTACAGAATCCCTACAGTGTGGAAGCAGGCTATTCAGCCCATCAAGTCCACACAGACCTCCAAACAGCATCCCATCCAGAACTCCCCCCTGCCTCATAACCCTGCAGTTCCCATGCCCAATCCACCTCGCCTACACATCTGTGGAGACTATGGGCAATTTGGCATGGCCAATCCTCCTAACCTGCACATCCTTGGACTGCGGGAGGATACTGAAACACCGAGAGGAAACTGACACACAGAGAATGTGCAAACTCCATGTTAGACAGTTGCCTAAGGTGGAACTGAACCCAGGTTCCTGGTGCTGTAAGGCAGCAGTGCTAACCACTGAGCCACCATGCCATCCTAAATTTTTGAATAATTGTCTTAAGAATACATGTTCTAAATGACTGCAGCAACTTTGATGATGTGATCCTGATATTGTTTTATTACCTTAAGTTGTAATGAAGAAGGAACTTCACCGCTGATGTTCAGGTTTATAGGCTTATTGCTCTGTATAACCAGGTAGACAGTTGGGCAATTATTTCCATGTGTAAATTCAACATTCAAGTTAACACTCTTATCTTCCGAGCTCCTAAGTTTTGAGATCCCAAAAAAGGGATTTGTTAAGAGTATAATGATAAATACATGTTACAATATTTTATGTATAACCATATAATAAATAATCAACTAAAATAACTTAAAAATTGTCTAGTATAATAACAGATGGATCACTCCGCCTTCCTGAATATCTGGGTTGAAAACTAGAGAAGGCTCACAAATACATATACAGCATAAAGGAAAAAAAAATCCATTAATCTAAAAACATGGACATAATTATTTTATTTCTATTCTACTTTCCTTCTTGAAGGCAGGTCCAGTCTACTGAGATGTGCCTAAGGTCAGGGCAAAGAGGCCAGACCCAAATCCATGGGGATTGGAAATCAAACCCATGCTGCTGGCATTAATTTGACCTACATTGACTCTGGCCAAATGGCTAACCAGCCTCCTAAGAAGTCCAGGTTGCTTTGGAACATAGACTTTTACTTGCAGGTTGCAATCTGGAGCTGGTTGTAATGGTAAATGCTCCAATAGGTTTTCCATTCCATGGCTGACCAGGAATCGTATTGCCACTATTGGCATATGCCATAAGTATTTACAAGTTGAAATCCACCTGGGCCACAAGACCATCCAGTCATTTGATTTACATAACAGAAATTTCGATGTGATCAGAATATTTATACACATTGGTAGGAAAAAAACAATTTTGATCGAAACTGACAACCAAGTAACTAGTTCTGCTTTTAGTATAACCTAAAATGCAACTGTAGACTTTTCAGGATCATATCAATGCAGCTTTGTACTATTTAAGAAAAGACGTGATTTGTTGGTCAGAATTAAATCCTTACAGTTTTCTTCAGACATAGTCTGTATATTTTATTTTAGTTTTTAATTAGTTTTTTGAAAATTCATTAAAGGGATGCAGTCATGAGAAACTTAATATAGAAAGCAATGAAGATGCAGCACTGACTCACTGGGATGACAACTAGGAAAACATGAAATGAAGAAATAATCAAAAGCCTACAATAAGTGTATTCAGCGGAGCACAGAAGTGCAAGAACAGAGTATCTCAGAAATTATTCTGATGTTTTCACTAGCTACTAGCCAGAAGTAAATAGAGGAAGGGGTGGAGCTGGGGGGAGGGTAGGTGAGATGGAGGTAGGTGGATGTAGGTAGGTGGGTATTGTGGTTGGTCAGTGGTAAAGGTGGAGTGGATAGGAGTAGGAAGATGGACAGGTTGGGGGAAGGACAGATTTTGAAGCTGGTGAAGTCAATATTCGGGTCACTAGGCTGTAAACTCGCAAGGTGAAATAGGAGGTATTGTCCCTCCAGTTTACGTTTGGCCTCACTCTGACAGTGGAGGATGCCAAGGATGGACATATCACTGGGGGAGTTAAAGTGGATGGCAATGCGAAGGTTGGGTTGATTGGTGCATGTACAGTGCAGATATCTGCGTTTCGTCTTCCCAATGTAGAGGGGACCATATCAGTATCCATTGCTCACAAACGAGCTTTCAAGTTTCCCACACTACAAGAGAAATTTATCTTCAAAGATACTCCATTGGCTGTGAGGTACTTTGGAACAGCACAAATTTATGAAAGGCAGCATATTTTTAGAAAGAGAAGGCTGTGGGGTGTCCTAACAGAGGTCTTTAAATGTAAAGGTGTTTGATAGGATGGATGTAGTGAAGATGGCAGCTAAATTAGGCAAATAGCACCTTTATAGTGTTACTTGGTCACAAAGTCACTTAAGGCTTGAAAACAGGATCCAAGCTGCATACAAGTACGCTTCAATGGGAAGCACATTGGGTAGAGATCAGTAACTAATCTTGTAAAGGAAGAAATCCAAAGTTCCACTTATTTGCTAAAAAGGATGCAGCCTCAAGACTTAAACAGATTAAATCAGATTTTTTAACTTTGTCGAAGTCCAACCACCCAGTCCAATCAACATAAATTTACACAAGTTAACACACAAACTGAGGTTGATGTTAAGCTATAAATTGCACACACCAAAAAAAAATCTTAAAAATGAGTTCAGCAGTATCTTCAGCACAAAGGTCATGCTCCACTATAACGTTTTTAAAAACTCTTTTCTTCTTCTTCGAGAATTTCAGCTCCCCACCCCCTGCCAAACCACAATGAGTCAGCCTGCTCCCAAATTACAGCAATGCACAGAATTCCATGGACACAGTCTTCACCAAAACGGCACTGGCAGACAGGACATTCTCAATTCTTCTTGGAAGATCTAGATTATGTAGATCCACCAAGTATCTCAAAGTAACAGGAACAGTTGCAACCTGTGCACTCGCTCATTCTCAATTTCTGAATATAGCCTTTATTTTCTTCAGTTTTCTTATACTGCGTCACTGGGATCATATATGGTGAGCTTAAAATTTATCCATGCCCTTTTACATGCTGTACAACTGCAGGGATACACACCAAGCTCTGGATAGTGGGATTAAGCAGAGTGGTAAATTTTCATCCAGTGGAAATGGCTGCCTTTTTGCAGTAAATCTCTTGCGAATCTATTTTACAATCCCATGCTTTCTACGCTAGAAATTCAGTAATGCTCAAAGTTTTAGTTTCCAAATACAGTTTCAGCGCTAGTTTCCTTAGAAACTAGCAGAGTTTGTTTCTATTAATGGGCTCCCTTTGCAGTTAGGGACAGTAGCAAAAAATTACAAGTATCAATACAAAACACTACTGATTCCACGACAGAAGGAAACCATTTTGTTAAAAGGATTTGCATGCCTCCTGCTCTGGTAGAATTTCAGTTTGAAACTAAATGTGACTTGGAGATCGAGGAGAAGCTGTCAGTAGATCAGAGGAGATATGGCAGGCTATGTAGTTCAAGGTTTGTAATCAAGGATTTTCAGGGAATAATTCTCCCCTCAAATGTCATATAGGGCCAATGCATGACGATTTTTTTAATTTCAAAAATATACTTTATTCATAAAAAAGTTTAGGTACACACAAAAGGTCCAAGAAAGGTTTTGTACAGTCTTTGCGGAGAGAAAAAAAAATTGACATTAGATTTTGACATCCCCTAGAGCTACCCTCCATGTTGCAATAACAAAGGCATCTACTCACGCAGGAAACTATTTCATTTTCAGGCAACAATGTGGTCTGAGAGCCTAACAGACCATCGTTATACTCTGACAGAAAGATCTTAGATGGTAGTCTTTCTCCACTGTACTTTGGCCGCAGCTGCTCCAACCTTTAGTGCATTCCTCAGCACGTAGTCCTGGACCTTGAACTGTGCCAGTTTCCTACACTTGGTTGAGGTCAACACTTTACACTGGAAGGTCAACAGGTTTCAGGCAGACTAAAGAGCAACTTTCATTAAGTTGATGGCCTTCTAGGCGCAGTTGATATTTTTCTCAATGCGTCCCAGGGAACAGCCTATACATCACAGGATCTGACATCATGGAGCTGCTTGGGTCAAACCTCGACAAAAGTCGGTGCATCTATATCTAAACTGACCTATTAGAGACACATTCGAAAAGGAGATGTATGACACTCTCCTCCCCACTCGTAGCCCACTTCGAAGGTAGCATGGAATGGAGGAGAGAATATGGGCGTACATGAAGGATCTAACACACTGTACCCTTCTTACCGCTAGCCAAACTACGTCTTGGTGCTTGTTGCGAAGTTCTGGCAATAAGGGATTCTGCCAAATGACTTTGACAGTCTGCTCAGGGAACCACCTGACAGAATTAACCCTCTCCTTATCCTGGACGCTGTCGAGAGAATTACATGCTGCCCACTGCCTGATGGATTTGTAGTCAAAAGTGCTTTCCTTCACAAAATGTTTCCATGAAGGGACAGATAATACTTAACAGTGCATGTACTTAGAGTGTTCTGCAGACAGGCCAGACCCATCCTTCATAACACTGGGGAGGGGTAAAACCTCAATATGTTGTGACACTTGGTGTTTATATACCGAGGATCTACACACAACTTGCTACAGCCACACAAAGGTGGCCAATAGGATGAGGGTGGTATTGGGTACGTCCTTCCCCTCCTTATCCAGAGCTTTGCACATTATGTCCGAGGGCACAGTCCCATTCAAGTGGAAGATGGCTCAGGTGACTGCAGTGGCACAGTCTTGAAGTATGGAATAGATCTGTGCCACATACAGCAGCACTGTAAATAACTCACGCCTGATGATCACATTTTACCCATAGTGGAGAGGGAGCGGTGCTCCCATCTGCAAAGTTTCTGCCTCGAGGCTTTTTTTATTGCAAAAATATACCTTTTATTTATAAAAAAAAATCTTTATATACATAGTTACTGAGGCAGTTCTGAACAGTCCTTGCACATAAAGAACTAGCAAATACTGGGAATTTGGCATTCCCTGCAATTTCAAAAACCCCAGGACATTTCTTAATTATGCAGGACTGTAGTTCAATACATTGGAGGTACCAAGGGGGTCTGATAACTAAATAGACCCCCACTGTACTTTGCCAGAAAGACCTTAGACAGTAGTCTTCCCCAAGTGGCTTTTTTTAATTTCTAAAATATACTTTATTCATAAAAATATTTTTATATACAAATAAATCACTAAAGTAGATTGGTGCTGTACAGTAGCATATGAAGAGACAAACAAACAAACCATTGCAGACTGACTCTCCAACAAACAAACCAAAAGGCATTTCTTACTTGTGCAAGATTATATTTACACATATTTGAGGCAATGGGAGGGTCCAACAACTGAATGGACCCCATTTAACTTCACCAGAAAGACCTTAGACAGTGGTCTTTCCCCAATGTGCCTTGGTGGCAGCTGCCCCCAGTTTTAGTGCGTACCTAATCTCACGAGGTTTCTTCACTTCACAAAAAGGTCTGTGTGAAATATGCAAACTTGCAACCACAATTACAGCCTCAAAGCATGGCGAAGATAGCTCTGTCTGTGCCAGTCAAAATGACTGTGGCTCTTAAATATCACATGTCTGATTCATTTCAATTGTTGCAGAAAATACAAGCAATATAGAACAGTTTGCAGTACACTGCTGTGTAAAATTCTCTTCACATTATAAAGTGAAATATTATAATCTTATTTTCTTCTCCCAGAGAGAAGCAGGCGGAGCAATAACAAGGGTTTGCATAGATTCACGCTGAAAAAGATGGCCTTCAAGTTTATGAACATACCCCTGTATCAAGTTGGAATTGGGGTCCTTTGTGGTCTTTGACTCCAAGACCTCCCAAAAAGTGTAATTTGAAGAGCCTGATCAATCACCCGCAAACAGACTCAATTAGTGGAAAACTGCCATGGTAATTAATTAAATTAATTAAGGGGAGGGGTGACTTATTCAATGTGTTTAATGCATTTAGTACATTTTTAAAAGTGTAAAAGACAAACTTTATTTGCACTGGTTATAATTTGTGCTAGAAGTTCCTTGATCTTTTGCATTGGTCTAGCCAATTACAGATTAACTGTACTGAAAGAAAGCAGCACAGCCTAGCAAACATGTTACACGACGTAGTTACAAGTTTTATGCATTTTTGAATACAAATAATTATGAAACAATATAAATAAAACACATTTAAAAGGTAATAGAATGAAAGCATGATTTCAGTGGGCAGGCATTTTAAACTGGTTAAAATGGCAGACAATGAAGTTTTAAAGGAACAAATTAAAAGTTTATTCATGATCATTATCAATAGAAACTAATGATAATATTGATACCAGATGATACGGATATGCTTCCTTCTCAACTAATAAAATATGTTCTGATCAAAGAATAATGGAATGCAGACAATAGATAAACACCCTGCAGAAAATGAAAACAAGATCTTTCAGATTATTTTCTCTGTCTGACAATAAATATGAAACCCTAACACAGTAAAACTGGTTAGGAAAACATTCATTAGAATAAATTGAAATGGGCATTGGAACCAAACCGTAAGGATAAAAAGGAAACTGAACAATGGAAATGAGAAAAAATTAAAAAGAATGCTGGGAATAGACAATACCTAGTAGACAATTTAGACAACATCCAAAAGGAAAACCAATCTCTTTAGAAACGTTAATTTAAAGATGTTCAGTATAAAGTTCAGTATCCACTCTGAACCCATGAAAAACAGATCTCTGAATGAGAAGGTAGAAAATGTCAAACAGCAGAGGGACTTACTGCAGTCCATGTTCCCAAATCAATGACTATGGAAGATAGACAGTAGGCACATGAAAAATCTAACAGAATCTTAGCCTGTATTCTAGCTCACTTGAGATACAAAAGAGTAATACATTAAGTTGCGATTGTTGAAGAGTCCATTTAAACTGCATCGAGAGTTCTGCATTTAATTCTGGGCATCAGTTCTCAAATGGATATATCAGCCTTGGAGTGCATGCAGCAGAAACTCACCAAAATGATACGGGGTGATGAATGTGATGAATAATAGGGACACAGGTTGTACAGATAAGATCTGTATTTCAGTGAGTACAGAAGATCAAGAGGTTATCCAATTGAGATATTTTAAAAGTTTGATTTGAAAGGTAGATAGAAACTATTTGTTTTGGTTTGCAGAGCAGGTCAATAACCTCAAAATTATGCTGTACTGGAAGCACTTCTTCAAACAGAGTCTGGAAATCAGGAAGCACCCCACCCCCAAACAGGTATTTAGGCTACATCAACTGATCATGATCAGATGATATACATCAAAACCTTCTTGAAGGTAGATGTCAACAGTGTTACTGTACACCAGATAACAGCAGTGCTCTGTGGATAATTTAGAGATTTCTTAATTTTTGTGGCATTTGCTACAAATTAAAAAAAATCACATACACTCAGCAGGATTAATGAACAGTGACATTTATATCAATCAAATTGCTATGTAGTTGCTTAAGAAATAATTACAGATTAATTTGATATTCAATACTTCATTCACTCTTGCTATGGTTATTGCATTTTCCAGAAGTCAATATTTTTAATAATTGACAAAATGTTGTAAAGTTAAGTATTTCACATTTTTTATTATTAAAGATGAAAACATATGAGGAACTTACTTTTTAAATCAAATGTAAGTTGAACTTTCATTGATTATACCCTGTCATGGAATATATGACCCAGTTTACTTTTCAAACAACACATCACTGTGTTAGCCTTATCACTTCCATACAAAGCAACACTGGCTTTTTGAAAAAGCAGGACAAATCCAACCCGGTCAATTTCACTTGACCGAAATGAGGAAAGAGGTTGCTGAGAGTGTTATCAAGTAACACTTACTGATACTTAGGTTTCATCAGGGCCATGCACATTCTGACCTAATTACAGCCTTGGTTCAAACATGGACAAAGAGCTGAACACAAAGATAAGTGACAGTGACCAGCGTTAACATCATGGCAGCATCTGAGAGTATGGTAATCAAGGTGCCCTAGCAAACATGAGATGAAAGGGAATCAAGGGGAAAACAATCCATTGTTTGAAGATGGCTGTAGCTGTTAGAGATCAATCATCTCGGTTCCAGGACATCAATGTAGGAGCTCTTGAGGGGACTGTCCCCTGAACAACTTCAGCTGATATATCAATGACATTCCTTCCATCAGATCAGAAGTGGGCATGCTCATTGATGATTGCACAATGCTTAGCACCACTCATGACTCAAGATACTGAAGCAGTCTAGGTCCATAATCTTGGACAACATTCAGGCTTGGGCTGTTTAAGTGGTAAGTAACATTCACACCACACAAGTGCTGGGCAATAACTAGCTTCAACAAGAGGAAATCTAACCATACTTCTTTAAACTTAATAGGATTACCATTGATGAATTTCCCAGTGTCAACATCCTAGGGGTTACCATTGACCAGAAACTGAACTGGGCAAGCCATGTAAACACAGTGGCTGCCAAAGCAGGTTAAAGGCTGACGAATTTCATCACATCTAACTCCTCATTGCCTGACTCCTAAAGACTGCCCACCACCTAACAAGACAAATCAGGAATGTGATGGAATACTATCCAGTTGTCTGGATGAGTGCAGCTCTAATGACACTTGAGCAGCTCAACACCATCCAGGACAAAGGAGTACACTTTAGTAACACTCCAAATAGCACCATAAAGATTTACTTCCTCCAATACTGGTAGATCAGTAGACGTATGCACCAAATACAAGGTGCAATGCAACAATTCACCAAATCTCCTTTGCCAGTACCTTCCAAACCCACAACCTCTATCATCTAGAAGAGGAGGGCAGTAGACGCATAAGAATACCTCCAGCCCACACAGCATCCTAGCTTGGAAACTATAATTGCCATTATCACCGTCGCTAGATCAACATCTTGGAATTCCCCAACATCACTGTGGGTGTACGTACACCACATTTCAAGAAGTGGCTCAACAGCACCTCCAAAGTTCAATTAAGGTAGAACAACAAAAATGCTGGCCAACCAGTTAGCCCAAATCTAGTGAAAGAATAAGCAAAATAAACAGAGTAAAAACTCAATCTTTTCTTGAGTAGTTAATATACACAACGAATTCTGTACCTGAAATAATTGGGTATCGGTATTAGGTTTATGATATGGATTTGAGGAACGACATGTTGGTCAGATGTCACACAACCCACCAAGTCTTCCTGACGAGGTTTGCGATCCAGATAATTTTCAGCACTGATACAAGGCATTTGTTCACACTTATTTGGAAACATTTCACCTGTTTACAAAAAAAAAGTAAGTTTAGTTCAAGCAAGATCCGTTTCAATACTCTCTGTATTAATGGTGAGAAAACCCTTTAAAAACTAAAAATTAGTTAAAAGGAGAAAATTCGATTGTAAAACAACTTTTTTTTCCCCTCATTAAAGATATGTAATGCTTCAAATAAAGAATTTCAAGCTAAATAGAACTGTTAAACATCTCTAAGTCAAATAGGTTAAATATTTGATCAGAGAAGAATAGTTCTTTCTAGACTACCAGCTAGTTGCAGAAAGTAAATGCTCATAACCTAAAATGAAAGCACAATAAATCACCATGCTACATTCAAAGTGGTTTAGCTACTGATTGGTTGCAAAAATAGTGGTTAACAATTCAATTTTATTGATACCCAAATCAGCCAGCAAGGTGGGATTAATAGATAAAAATATTGGTTGTGAATCTGGAATTGTTGGTTGATTAATATGCTTGAACATTCATAAACAGCATTTTAATAAAACTGACCGGATTTACATGTTAACTACTCAGTAAACTTGCTAAAGTAAGTACTTCCTTTTAAAAAACATGGTGGATGTAATGGTACCAAAGGCTATCTGCTTAAAATTGAAAGTTTTAACCTGTAATAACTCAGGAGACCGGACCGGAAAGGAACATCATTCATTGTTGAACACCAAAATAGAACCACTACTCATGGCATACATAGGTGAGTCCAGCCAAAGACAGACAGTCTGAGATTCATTCCTGGATCTGATTTCCTTTTCCTTTATATCCTCACGAATTTTCCACATGTAACCAAATTTTACCCCATTATCGTTACTTTTTTTTTGTTTTAACTACTAACGACCACCAATAAAGTTGGGTCTGCCTTTTTCTACAGAGACAAAAATAGAAATTGCTAGAAAAGCTCAGCAGGTCTGGCAGCACCTGCTGAAAGAAATCAGTTAATGTTTCAAGTCACTTTACCCAAGCCTTTCCAGCAATTTCTATTTTTGTTTTTGTTTTATAAATATCACTAGTAATCACCCTTTTAGCCAATTAAATATTTACAAGCAAAGCCCATCAATGGGCAATGCGAACCACAGAAGTAGTGAAGGGGAGGTGGGGGTGGTGGAGGGAGATAGGGAGAGAAGGAAGGGACTAAATCAAAAGTGAAGTTAGGTAGAGAAATAAAGCACTATATACCCTGCAATGCCCACTGCTCTCCAAAAGACACGGGACAGCATTGATGGACACCACATGCTCCCTCTCAAATGACATCCAGGCATGAAGATAACCATGGAAGAGTGGCAGACAGACAGTCAGCAGAGCAGACCCAATGGTCATTTTTTTTTTCCCCTTTTCATTTGGATCTGCTTTATTTTACTTCCATTTCTTTATACCCAGAAGTGTCATCACACACAACTGAGCGCATGTCCCAGCACCAAAATCACCATGACTGTTTTTTAAACTAAACTACTAAACACCAACAGTAATCACCTGTGCAGCTAATTAAATATTTACATGCAAGGTCCATTAAGGGCAAAGCTAACCATCAAAAGTGAGGGGAGGTAACAAAAGAGGGAAGGGACTAAATCAAAATGGAGCTGGAGTGGGAAATAAAGCACTGTATGCCGCACATTGCCCACCTTTCTCTAAAGACAGCAAGAGCATTGATGGACATCACGTATTCCCTCTCAAATGACACCCAAGCATGAACGTAACTGCAGAAGAGGAGCAGACAGTCGGCAGATATAACCATTGGGTCTGCTTTATGTTCTTTTCTTTTCATACTAGATCCACTTTTTAAAAAACCTAGTTGCTAATCAACCTGCTCAAATTTGTTATTACACACCTCTGGAACAGGTGGGAATTGAGCCTGGGCCTCCTGGCTCAAAAGTAGAGATACTAATTCTGCACCATAATAGCCCTCTGGGCTTTGTTTTTCTACATACAAGTGTTATCATACACGACTGAGCAACCTTCCCACCAATAAAATCACCATTTTTATTCTAAACTGCTGACCACCACCATCAATAATCACCCAGGCAGCCAATTAAACATTTATATGCAAAGCCCATTAAGGGCACCATTTTGGCTTTATTTATTTTGTCTCTCTTGTCAACCTGTTCAAAGATAATAGTACATTACCTCATGGAGCAGGTGGGACCCAGGCCTCATGGTTTAGAGGCAGGGTAATTACAACTACACTACAAGAGCTCATTAAAGTCTTAGGTGGAAGCCAGCAGGTTTGGCCAGAATGGGGATTGAACCCCTGATCTTAATGTTATTAACACCACACTCTAACCATCTGAGTTAACTGCTTTATTTTTTTTCTACCCAGAAACAGAAACAGACTCACAAAACTGAGTGACCTGCCCACCGTCGAAATCAGTGCCACATTTTTTCTGCTTTTTTTTGAACTAAGTAACCGCCACCAGTAAAAACACCCAAACGCCATTTGAGTTTTTGCAAGCAAAGCCCATTATGGGCAATGCAAACCATCGAAGTTAGGGGGAACTAAATCAAAACTGAGTGGGAGGAAGAAATAAAGCACTGTATCCCCCAACAGTGTCCACCTCCTACTAAAGACATTTAGAGTACTGATGGACACTGCATGCTCCTTCTCCAAAGACATCAGGCACAAACATAACCGCAGAAGGGCAGACAGTCAGAAGAGATGGCCCCTCCACAGCCTGCTGCCTGGACCGGTTTATATCCAGCCTGGCTAGGCCCAGGAGCAGACCCACGAGGTGGCCATCCGATCTGTCCACACTCCATACCAGATGCCCAAGGATCAGGTGCATAGAGCTCAAGTGCAACAAAAAAAACATACAAGATTTTTCAAGTTTATGAAAAAAAGTGTAAATATCCACAATCAATATAAACATTGTCCACGGACTCCACAGCACCACAAAATAAACAGTTGGGCTGGGAGTCCAAGAACCACCACAATCTGTGAGAACATGGGACAGCTGCATGCAAAACCCTCCATACCAAGTTCCTGATGCAAACTGGGAGGATTCCTGCATAGGGAGCCCACCAATGGGGATCCCCATTACCTGGTGGGGAATAATCCCTTGGTGCGCTTAAGAGCTCAGGTCACAGGCGATGGCCTACCCAGCTGGAACCTATTACCAAAGGAACTCATACTCAACAAGCTCCACGAGGAGATCAATTAGTGATTCTTCACGGATTTTGTAGGGCGTATCATTGAAATTGAAACAAGTTTTCAGACAAAACTAAAATTGTAGTGGCAATTGTGAAAGTTGGCAGAAAGCAAGTATAAATTATCAGGGTAAAATTACTCCTCGATTTTCTACAGATCTGAACCATATAACCAGTGGAAGAATAAAGGGGAAATGGACTCATGTTACATCCCAGCCAAAATGGAAACAACATATGGTCTTGGTGTTGTTACCTCCCACAACAAGTCAAATCAGAATTGGAATCGAGAGGCGGTTGAGGACTCTGGGTCTGTACTCTATGGAGATGGAAGGATAAAGGGGCAATCTCATTGAAACTTACAGAATACGGAGGGGCCTGGATAGAGTGAATGTGGGTATGATGTTTTCACTAGTAGGAGAGACTAGGACCTGAGGGTACAGCCTCAGCGTGAAGAGATGATCCTTTAGAACTGAGAGGAAAAGGCATTTCTTCAGTTACAGGGTGGTAAATCTGTGGAACTCGGTGTCACAGAAAACTGCAGAAGCCAAGTCTTTGAATGTATTTAAGGCGGAGATAGGTTCTTGGATATTAACGGGATCAGGAGTTACAAACAGAAAGCAAGAGAATGGGTTGAGAAATTTATCAGCCGTGATTGAGTCTGCTCCGTGATTCAATAGGCCGAATAGTCCAATTCTGCTCCTAGATCTTAATGGTCTTATGGAAGTACTTATGCTTGCTCATCAGTTGGATAGTGAAGAAAATCGGAGCTTCTATTACAGTTTTTGAATGAAAACCAAGAATGGCAACACTGTCTTTCATGACACATGGTTAGACTTTATTAGAATTTCAGAAGATAGTAAACTCTTCCACGGAAGAATAAACTATCACATACTTTAAAAGATTAGTTACATTCAACATGGGGATTCTCTGGATCAGTACTAGCATTTAAATTGCTGCATTGTGCTAAGGTATCTCTCATATAGATTGGTTCTAACTGGTGCGCTATTCTGAGAGGGCTAGCCTTCACAAAAAAAATCTGGCAAAATAATAGTAATTTCTGTAACTTTAATGCAGCATTTAACTACAACACAAAATATTGGACTGAATGATTGCCAGATTTTGGAATCACCCAGATACTAGCCACAGGTTTCAATACAATAGAAAGTTTAAAGACAGTGCGAATGAAGATGAAAACATCTTTACACCTGGACAAAGAAATGTGGGAATTATGGTATTATGATATTTTATATAAAGTTAGGAGGTATCTGTAACCCAACAGATTTTGTATTGTGCTTCACGGAGGTAAGACCAACTCTCCCTGCTTAAAGGAGAATAAATCATTGATCGGTTTCCGGAGTCTCCTAACAATTTGTCAAGTTGTACAAGAACGCCTGATAAAAAATGAAAGTCAAATGAAAAAAGGTAGAAAATTCTCCAACTAGCACAAAGCAACATCACTGTGGATGCTGCAGATCAAATATGTCAGTTCCAAGACATCATTGCCAGAGTTGTTCGGGACACTAATCATCTTCAGCTGCTTCTAAGACCTTTCCTCAATCTTGAAGTCAAAAATAGGGATATTCCCTGTTGAGCACACAATGGTCAGCACCATTCTTGACTCCATAGACATCGAAGCACTCCGTCCACATGCAAAACACCAGTACAAAATTCAGGCTTATCCTGCAGTGGCAAGTAACATTTGTACAACACAAAAGCCAGGCAATAATCATCTCCAATAGAAGAGAAACTAACCAATTGTCTCTTTAAATTTAATGGCATTAGCAATACTGAATCTCCTATTAACATTATCCTGGAGGTTACCATTGACCAGAAGCTAATCTTGACCAGCTATATTATACATAGGTTGGGTATTTTGCAGCAAGTAACACACTTCCTGAGTCCCCAAAGCCTGTTCACCATCCACAAGCCACAAATCTGGAGTCTGGTGGAATCCTCTAGATTTGCCTGGGTGAGTGCAACTCCACAATATTCAAACAGCTCAATGCCACCCAAGACAAAGCAGCCTGCTTGATTGATTTCAATTCTCCGCACCCTCCCATTCAGTCTAATACCATGCACAGTGGCAGCAGTGTGTGCAGTCTATCTTGTAGATGGTAACAACTCACCAAAGGTCCTCCAACGACACCCAACCTCAACCAGCAAGAAGGCAAAACAGCAGCAAATGGACTGGAGTACCAGGATCGGTGCTGGGTCTAAAGCTTTTTGTCATCTATATAAACGATTTGGATGTGAATGGTTAGTAAATCTTCAGATGACACCAAAATTGGTGGTGTAGTGGACAGCGAAGGTTACTTCAGAGCACAGTTGGATCTTAATCAGATAGGCAGAAGAGTGACAGATGGAGTTTAATTTAAATAAATGTGAGATGCTCCACTTTGGTAGGACAAATCAGGGCAGGATTTATACACTAAATGGTAAGGTCCTAGGGAGTGCTGTCGAACAAACGGACTTTGGAGTGCAGGTTCAGTTCCTTGTAAGTGCAGTCGCAAGCTGATAGGATAGTGAAGCTTGCCTTTATTGGTCAGTGCATTGACTATAGGAGTTGGGAGGTCACGTTGCAGCTGTACAGGACATTGGTTAGGCCACTTTTGGAATACTACGTGCAGTTCTGGTCTCCCTGCTCTTGCAAGGATGTTGTGAAACTTGAAAGGGTGCAGAAAAGATTTACAAGGATGTTGTCAGGGTTGGAGGGTTCGAGCTATAGGGAGAGGGTGAATAGGCTGGGGTGATTTTCCCTGGAGCACCAGAGGCTGAGGGGCGACCTTATAAATTCTTGAGGGTCTTTTCATCAGGGTAGCCGAGTCCAAAACTAGAGGGCATAGGTTTAAGGTGAGAGGGGAAAGATTTAAAAGGGACCTAAGGGGCAACTTTTTCATGCAGAGGGTGGTGCATGTATGGAATGAACTACCAGAGGGAAGTGGAGGAGGCTGTACAATTACAACATTTAACAGGCATCTGGATGGTTACATGAATAGGAAGGGTTTAGAGGGATACGGGTCAAATGCTGACAAATGGGACCATTTATTTAATTTAGGATATCTGGTCAGCATAGATGAGTTGGACTGAAAGGTCTGTTTCTATGCTGTACAGCTCTATGACCAGCACTTGAAAGTTCTAATACAAACCACACACAGTATCCTAATTCCAAACTGTATAGCTATTCTTCACTGTCACTGGATAAAAAAAAAATCCTGTAACACTCTTCTTAACAGCACTGTGGGACACAAGATGAACTGGAATGGTTTAAGAAGGTGGCTCACAACCACCTTCTCAAGTGCAACTGGAGAGATAGTGGGGCAGTGACATTGTCACTGGACTAATAATCTGAGTTTAAAGTTCCAAGATGAGTGTAAATCCCACTAAATCCCACAAAGATCCTTACATAACACATTCCAAACACACAGCCACTTCCACCTAAAAGAACAAGGGCAGCAGATATATGAGAACACCATCACCTGCAAGTGTCCTCCAAGCAACTGACCATCCTGACTTGGAAATATATTGTCGTGCCTTCACTGTTGCTGGGTCAATATTGTGAAATCTTCTCCCTAATGGCATCGTGGGTCTACCTTCAGCACGTGGGCTGCAGCAGTTTAAAACAGCAGCTCACGACCTCCTTCAAGGACAACTCAGGATGAGCAATAAAATGCTGGCCAGCCAATAACACCCACATCCCATAAGTGAATAAAAGTTGAAGTTTGGAAGTCAATAAAAATCTAGAATTAAAAGCTAGCCTAATGGTTACCAGGTAAACAATGTTGATTGTTGTGAAAAAAAGTATCTTGTTTACTGCCATCCTTATCTGGTTTGAGCTACATGCAACTTCAGACACACAATGTCACTTATCCTAATTGCCCTCTGAAAAATTAGGGATGGGCAATTAACGCTGGCTGAGCCAGCGACAGCCATGTCCCGTAAAATAAAAAAAGGAAACGAGTACCTGAAGTACATAAAACATTTACACGTTTACGTATTGTTTTATTTGTTCAAAATGAGGTGATGAGATTATAAATGACGATTAACATGCAATCTTTAGTGCAGTGACTTTTTAGTTTCTTCCATTACAATGGTTGGCTTTTGGGCTTCTCTGTTGTCCAAATAAAGTGTGCAAAACAACTCAACTCCTCAAATATTATTCATGTAAAAGTTAACCATGAATGTTGGCATTAAAAAAACCCATTTCACAAATACAACTTTTACATGAGCACACATAGTAATTTTTCAAATGCAAGAGCCAGGTTAGGAAGGATGTTAAAACCAAAATGTTAAAACTTCCTTTTCTTCTTGCTTTGACTAAGTACCTGTTCAATATTTTTAAGTTTTCATGTATATTTTCAAAATACAGATACACTTGTCTATGAAGCAAATATTTCACTTCAGTGTTCAGATTTTACCCCCATTTATGAACTTTAATGTGTTGCTGCAATCTTAACGATATAAAATTGCAACTTCTTACATTGCTTTGTGCATGCTCCCCACAAACATCAACAAGAAACTCTATTATTAAGATTTCTCTATACACTTACCTTCTTTCAGTTCTATTGTTATTCCACCAGCTTCTTCAAACTTAACTAAGCTAATGACTGAACTGCAGTTTTCCTCAACTAGCTTCAATTGTTCCAGACTTGAAAGTTTCCTTGTTTCCTGGGGTATCACATAGGATTTTGTGGAATGCTGCAAAACAAACAGCTTTAACAATTCACATAATTATTTTAAAACACAGTCTCATGTCAATCTCTTACTGATTTGAGCTTTGCATAATACTTTTCAAACTGATGCAATTATGAATATTGGAATAGCTTATTTCACAAATACATATAGTAGCATTTAGATTAGTTACCTTAGCATGTCTTGATAGAATACACAGCCATAATACCCTTGGAGGTCATTTTTGTTGATTCTTAATTTTAATAAAATCATTCTAAAATAAACTTCTTGCCTATGTCTAACTAAATAAATTATTTCCAGTTATTTTTACAACAGCATTATTAAAAGATAGTGTCTAGCAAATAAATGTCACTGGTGTACGTGCACATTTAACTTTGCAACTTCTTTTAAGTAAAACGTTCCAATTATCCATATGTATAATAATTATAAGCCTCTGCATTTTCCAAATTCTGCTGTCAATCAATCTCTCAAACTGAAAGGCAGAGAAAGCATGAGAGAACCAGAGAGAGAAAGAGAGAGAAAAAAAAAGTGAGAGCGTAAACAATAAGGAGACACAAATCAGGAGTGGGGAGGCACAGTCCGGAAGAGGAATAAGAAATATGGTTCAAGGATTGGCTGGAATAATATTGATTTATCTCTAAAGAAGTAGGTGTGTATTTTCAGAATATTCTGTTCTGTGTTTCCAGTACTTGATTTATATTTGTATTAGTCACTGATAAGATTTAGCATCATAATTTAATAAAATTTGACCTTAATTTTTCCTCTCCGGGCCTCCTGCACTCCCACTGACACATAACCAGTAGGTGAATCTTGACAGAGGTAATAAGCGAGGGCATGGGAGAGGAGCAGCAAGAAGAAAGAAGTGAGGAGATCAGGAAAGGAATGGATGTGAACAGGAGGGAGGGGACAAGCAATACGTACGGCAAGGAAAGATCAGGAGGCGGAATGGAATTGATGGTAATGAAAGGGAGAGAAAGTAGAGAATGGAGTGACAAGGAAGCAGCAACTGAAAGGATAAAAGGGCAGAAAGCAGGAAGGAGCAACTTAGTGTGGGAGACAGGGAGCAGGACAACGTTGGGGGGTTGGGGGATGGGGAGGGGAATGGCAAACAACAGCTAAGTTAGTAAGAGTAGTAAGTTCATAGAAGTAAAATGTTGAAAGGAATGTTGAGACTGTTAAGTTCAAGCAGGTTTTTACACACAAAAATAATTGAAGGTCAGGAACATTCATTCATTCTTGTGCTCTCTACCCAAAGGCAGGTCTTTGGCTCATTGTCTACTGTTGTTTCATGTTGAGCAGTTTTTGCCTTTAACTCTCAAGAGGGCAAGAAGCAAGGTAACAAGGCCTATCTCAGCCAGAACCGGAATTGAGCCCACACATCATTCTGAACCACATGCTAAGCATCTAGCTGATTGACCTAACTAGTCGCTGTCAGGAACATAACCCATATTACATCGTACCTTATGGGGAAATGACTTTCAATTAGCATGTTACGGTTTAGCACATCAATTTTTAGGAACACATTGGGAGTGTTAAACAAGCGACGGGTGTGTGTGTTTCAAAAAAAGACGAAAAGCTACATGTGTACATGCACACAGAAGAAAAATAAAGCACTAGTCATTATCTAATAAATTTAATAAAATTAACTACCCTTTGGCTGTTATGTAATGACACTACCTTGAAATCTTATTTGTCCTTAAAACGGTATCAAGAAGTCACAACTTAGTCTCATAAAACAAGTCTTGAGGTGACATTCGTAGTGCTGCGTATCCATGTGCAGACACATTAACAGGACTGCATTCAGTGACTAACAGACTATTTATTCTTGGATACAATTAGAAGTTTATTTTCATTTCAACCCCATCAAGACTCAGCTCAGTAGTTTGGAGCCAAGCTTCTTCCTAAACTTCCTTTGAATCATCAGGAAGCAGGACCTTTTTAAACTTTTGTACGTCAGCAGCTAAGTCTAAACTTTTAAAGAACCTTTGGTGACCCAAATCATGACAATTGCATTACAGTGAGGGTTATTAAGGTGAACGTTTTTAAACATGGTTTCTAGGTTTGCTGACTATATTCTCAATATTTTGTAGAAGTACAGTTCAGATTAGCAAATAAACAGCAATTCAACCAAACAAAACATATACAACTTGCTAATCAGTGTTTCAAAGAAAATGTCCAACTCAAGAACCTGGTTCATCTTAACTCCTTAACTGTACACTAATTCAGATATATCATATGCACCACTGGATTTAAAAACAAACAGTCTCATTTTTCTCAATTATCAAGGGTTTCAATAATAGTATGGAAGGAATGAATGTGCCATGCATACTTTTATATACAGTTGTCTTGTTAACCACTTTTGGGAAAGCAAGTATTTGGTTTATCTCTGATCACCCCTGAGAATTTGATGATCATCATCTTGAACCACTGCAATTCATGTCGTGTAGGAATGCCAAAAGTGCAATTAGGTAGGGGGATCTATGTATGTGACAAATCGGGACTAAAAAAAGATATTTTTCAAAATCTTGGTATTGTGTAACTTGGACAGTAACTTTGGTAATGACCCTATGCATGTGCTGCCCATGTTCTTCCAAATGGGTTGCTGATTTGGTAGGTACAATTGAAGGAACTTTGGTGGTTTGCTACAGTGAACCTTGTGAATGTTACGCCCTGTTGTTACAGACCACTTGCATTGGAAGAGTGAACATTTCAGGTGGTGCTAATCAAATGAGCGGTTTTGCCTCGGATTGTGTCATGTTTTGGGCCTGCATTCATCCAGATAAGTGGAAAGTATTCTATCAAATTCATGTGTTGTGTCTTGTACATGTTGGAAAGTCTGAAGAGTCAGGAGATGATTCATTCACCACAAACTACCAAGGCTATGAAACGTTTTTTCTTATTCATTGACAGGATAACGGTATTGCTAGCTAGACTAGCATTCATTTCCCATCCCCAGTTGCTCAAGGTCACTTAAAAGTCAACAACATTGCTGCGGTTCTGGAGTCACATGTAGGCCAGAACAGGTAAGGATGACAGATTTCCTTTCCTAAAAAGGACATTATTGGAAAAACCCATCTGGTTCACTAATCAATAATGGATTAGACTCATCACTAGACTCTTAATTCCAGATTTATTTTTATTGATTCAAATTCCACCACCTGCTGTGGTGGTATTCGAATCTGGTTCCCCAAAACATTATCTAGGTCTCTGGATTAAATGTCCAGCGTTAATGCCACCAAGCCATCGCCTACCCATATTGCGCATAGCATGATTCATCTGCTTCCCACTTTCTGGTTTTAACTGAAATCAGTTCCTGAAAGCAGCCATATTATTGTCAAAAATCACCTTTTGAGCACAGCCATCCAAATGAGTGAATTCCAAATCCTCATTTCTTCCCCAAGAAAATATCAGGACCTAGGAGTGAAAACTCAGTCTACAGACCCTAACCAGAACACTCCTTATTACCAGAGCCAAATTTCATAAGTAGGATGGTGTTTTGATCTCCCACAATCTACACTATACCCATAAGGACTGCCAACCGAATCTGCCTGGTAAGACTGCTTTAATTTTGTCACTTCAAGATTCAGACAATATGGATTTCAATTCTACATTATAGAATGGAGTTCAAAGCTGTAGCTTCAGAATGAATCCAGAAGGAATATGACCACCAAGCTAATGTGACTGTAATTATTGTTCGTAATAAAGGCATATTAAAATGAGAGTGGGTGCCCTCTTGGGATGCAATGAGGTTCAAGTCCCATCTGCTCCAGCTCTCTGAACAGGTTAATTAGAAACAAAAATTTACACACTTGTTTTAGCATTTGCCAGCATGTGCACCTTTTCCAATACTTGGCCAGAAAATTTTATTGCACAGTCTTCAGTCTTTAATATATTAATGTGAATGCCACTTCATTCTATATTCTACTTTGAACTATAATACTCATTCTTTCGATTCCTCCCCTGGCAAAGTATACTTTGCAATTCCAATTACTTACATACATTTTGAAAAGTTGACAAGGTAGCCTTCTGACAACTAATTACAAGTAATTTCATTTGTTACACAAGAATGCCCAATTACTGCAAATATCCCTGTAATGCTCTCACAAATATTAAAGCTCATTTAAAAAAAAAATGTAGATTTGGGTATTCGGCTTTTAATGAGTCACATGATTTTTGTTCTTCCTACAGTGTTTATTTAACAGACCAATTTACACTAAAAATTTTGGAAAGTTGCTGCTCACTCAGTTCATAAACTTTGCCACTCTTCCTACTGCTTGGATTCCTTCCTGTAAAGTAGTCTATATCAAAAAAAGTTATAAACAATGAAATTCCATAGTTCTCAAACGTTACCAGCAGCATGATGAAACAGAAGGAAAACAATACAAGAAATGAAGCAGTTTACAAAGATAGAGACACAAAAGTTCTTTTCTAATAAAAAAACTCGTTTGAAAATGTTATAGCACATTCTGCGGCCACGACATCATGAAATAGGATTTGAACCTGGACCTTCTGGCCTAGTGGTAGGGACATTGTCAGTAACATGGTTTTTTGGGCCAAACACCACTGCCAGTATAAGGAGGGGGAAGGATCTAGTGGTTATGATCCATAGTGGAACCCAAGACATAGGTAGAACTAGGTATGATGTTCTGTTGAGAGTTTCAGGAGTTAGTGTTCAAATTGAAACACAGAAGGTAATAATCACAGAATTATTACAAAAGTCATGCACTGAATGGCATAGGATCAAACAGATTATAGAATCAATTTAATGGCTCAAATATGGCATGGCAAGAAAAGGTTTTGATTAAATAGAGCACTGGCATCAGTACTCAGGGATGGGGAAAACAATTCTGTCGGACTGGGTTAGAACCAGCATGCTGGCCAGTTGTATAATTAGGACCATGGAAAAGCTTCGAATCAAGGGCGGTGGTGGTGGTGGTGGTGGTGGTAGGGTTAAGGAGAGATCGTTTTAGGAGAAAAATCCAAGCAAGAAATAGTGTAACAATGTGACTAAAAGGCAAGCAGAGTAAACAAGGGGCTGAATGTTAAACACTAACTGTGCATCAGTAAATAAGGTCAATGAAGGGAATGGCAGTAAAAGGAGCACTGAAATTAAAAAGGGTCAAGCTACCCATATTTACACAATCAATTCGCATCCAATTAACGCCTAATAAATATGCACCGCTCATTCCCTCATCCCATTAGGTCCCAGGCATTTCTTATGACCTTTGTAGATGGTATCAGGCCACATTATGGCCCAGATCTTCTGATGAGAAGATAGCACCATTGGCAGGCCATACAAACATACAATTTAAGAGCAGGAATAGGCCTCTTGGCCCCACAAGTTTGCTTCACCATTCAATAAGATTACAGCTAATCCGATTACTCCATATTGCCACTTACAGCCAATAACCTTCCAACCTCTTTCATACCAAGGATCTATTTACCTTAGCCTTAAAAACAATCAAAGACTGCTTTCACCAACTTTGGAGGAACTGCATTTCAAAAATTCTCAATCCTACATTCACCCACAAGAAGAAACATCCTTTCCAAATCAACCCTGTCAGACACATCAGACTTTTGTATTTCAATCAAGTTACCTTCTACAATTCCTAAACTCGGTGGATAAGAGTCTAGCCTTAGTCCACAGTCCCTTCAAGATTGCGATTTTCTGTATGAAGGGTGTCTTAAAATGGTAATGTATGGACTGTTTGGATAGCTGCATATTGGCACAACCTGGAGGGAACAGAGGCTAAAATAAAGTATTGCCTTCATAGATGATACAAAAAAAGGTCTTTGTTGAAGAAATGTGTAATTGATACACAATGAAAGAGATCACCAGTCAATATCGAAGCTGAAAGTTAACTGAAAGCTAACTGTCAATAAAAACCCAAAAATGTGGCCCAACCAAAGGGACTGTATCACACAAACAATTAAGTACACACAGCTGGTCCTGTCAATTCCCACAATCTATCAAATAACTGCACTTTGAACTCTTTCGTGAAGCTGATATATTCCACTTAAGCACAAAATATACTTCCATTTTATTGTTATCTCTAAGGCTTTTTTAAAAAAATGAACATCCAAATAAATTCAGCCCTTACTCAGTAAATTAATCCCCTTATTCTGAAGTGATGTTCTGAACTCATCTTATCTATGCTATTCAATACTGTGTGGTAGAGTTTCCACATGGTTGAGTGATTTGTGTAACAAAATATTGTGGAATTTCAAATTCAAGTTACATTCAGAGTTTTCTTGATCTTCTGCAGTAGTTTAAAATAATTGTGCTGGAAGGCAACTTCATCCACAAAACTGACCATGGCACCAGATGAAATAAATGCCTACAGGAAAGGTTTCAAGAGGGAAAGGGCCAATATCTTTTCCAGGGCAATTAGGAATAGGTAATAAATGCTGGTCTGACAGCAACACCTAAGTCCCATGAATGAATAAAATAGGTATTATGGTGAATTTATGTTAATTATGTTTATTTGCAGATTTTGAAAAGGCCTTTAAAATTAAATTTCTGTTTTAAAAACAAAGACATCAAAACACACTTTTGAAAAACAGAAAATTAAGACTTTTGATATTTAAGAGTATAACCACTAATAAAAGTAACAATGATTCACAATTGTTTCTCGGAGTCATTTTTAAGATATTTAAAATGGGGGTGCTCACAGGTGATGCACTAGACACCCCAACAAAATGCTAATCCTAACCCTAACATATGTTTTGTGATAAATTTTCAGTTGTAGTAGTAAAACAGCCAAGATTACCCTTAAATATTTTTAGGAATATTAGTGTAAGAAAAACAAACAACAAATACATTCAAAAATGTTGCCACTTGTGCTGGTTAATGAGCAATTTAAACTTTGTTAATCTTTTACCATACACTTGTCATCAGTCTGGAAAATTACAAATTTACTCTTTTAAAAATCTATTACTACAATTAAGAGAAGTGGCTGTAAAAATAGTGCAATTGTAAAATATAAAAACATTAAATGAATTACTCATTTGAGCAAATTTGTAATTTATTGGAAGCATTATGTGTACAGAACAGCAGTGAAATCAAATGGGAAAAGAAGTCACCAAGGAAAGGTCATTCAGCCCTTCAACTTTGTCTCTCTACAAAACAAGGGGTATAGATCCTTATGTAGCTTGTGAAAACTCAGTCCTCTTTGTTTATAGGGAATCTTATACATTCACTATAAAGCAGATCAAAGTACACGTTCTTTCACTGCTCCTCACCTATCATGCAGTGAAGTATATAATGTACAATAAATTATTCCAATATCTGAGAATTAGGACATTATCTAGCATGCAAGGCACAATTTTACAAATCCTTGTTGCTTCACAAGCCAGCAGTTAAGAGGAATACGGCATGTTCCATGCATGCTTTATACACGTTTATACATGTTTAAAATTAGACATAAAATCATGTAGCATGCATGCATAGATCTGGTTTGCATTTGTCATAAAAGATACTCTTTTGGCAGAACTAAAATCAACCATCCCTACATAAGATTTAGTAGGTCAGTGCGTACAATAATAATCTGTGTTGGGACACAGCTTGACTAAAAGTGAGAAGAAAATACACATCGAAACAGAAACAGCATACATATTTAGGCTCTCTAATAAGAGATTGTTTCAAGGTTATAAAAATATGATTGTGTAAGTTAATCTAGTAAAGAATTAGTCTATTTCTAAGACCTTTGGCTAAGTGTCAATTTTCAAGTGGATTTTCAAGGAAGGTTTCTCTTTGCAAGGGTGACATTTCCAAATGCATCATCCCAAACTCACCTCATTACCTACCTATCCTGCCCTTACTGTGCACTCTCATCCGATGCTAGCCCAATTCTACCATTTGCCAATGCTGGAATATCCTAGAATGATGAACATCCCTGGCACCATCTTTTAATTAAAAGACCTCGTGCACCCAGACAAGCACTGTTAGTCTAGAACTGCATTGCACAATTATATTTGCACCACACATCAGAGAAAAGAGAACTGGTATCTCACTTTGTCAACAGGAACCCGATGGACAGGGTAGTGCGCACAGGAGGATTTTCCCTCTTCTCCCAGTATCAGTGGAGGCCGTGACATCAGACCCTGCCAGAACAGTCTGAGATTGCCACTCAGGTCAATGCAGTCTCATCCATCTGGAGAAATGGTCAATGGCTTTCCCTGTTTCAAAAGAGTATGTGCCACCATCTCCTCTCTGCTAGCTCAGCCATTCCGCCTGCTACAAACAGCTAATTCCCAGAAAGGTTTATGTTTTGCCACACTCAGTATTGCAAGCAACGTCTTCCCTCACTTGCTCTCACTCATCCCAACCCCCAACACTACCAATCCTATATAGCCTCTGCACTGCCTACATACTCTGACAATTCACCATTTTTCCCCACCAGCACCAGCACTTACAGCTGCAGAACGTACTTTCATTTCACTCAATCCCTCCTTTCTCTCATTACAGGAGAAAGCATCCCAGAATAAAACAGAGAGAGCAAAGTTGGAAATAGGCTGACATCCCGTACCTCACTTCTTCAGAGGGTAAGATTCAGTCTCTGACTGTCCCAAGTGCTGGAAGATAGGCCAAGAGCTTGGATGCTGGTACTGGGGACTGCCCTTGACTTTTTGTGCCGAGACACCCTGACTTGACGGAAGAATGCTGACAAGCAAGCCAAATGTCTGGCTTAGTGCCTGTGCTAAATGGCAAGGCAAGACGGAAGCACTTTGCCCCTTTGCCAGAGCAAACATGTTCGGAGTGCAAAATGTCAAGGCAGGAATGCTGTGACCATCCAATTGGAGCAAGGTAATTGAGCAGACCAGAGATGTAGCCAGGTGTCTATCCCTGCGCACAGTATGAGCTTGCAGCAGGATAGTAAAGCCAGCTGCCAGTGCATCTCAAGGTGCAGCTTTAAAGTGCAAAAGTGTATTGTAAGTGAATCGGAGATGTGCCATTATAGTGTGATGAAGCTGGCAAAAGTCTGTGGCCAAGGTCCAGGATTATGGAGTGCATGCTACTGGTGGCCTGGAGATGTCGGATATCCAAGATGGAGTTCCAGAGGAGCAAGCAGTGAGCTGGAATCGCAAGGCAATTGCCACAACTTTCATGTCAGAAATTCTCGTCCAAGTTCTCTCTTGGCAGTTGGAGAATAGGAAGTTGCTTATGAATGAGGCAAAATATGCTGTTAATCAGGTCAACAAAGGCAATAAACCCCCTTAATAGACCTCTGTCAGCTGCCTAGCAAGAATCTCATCTCAATGCTCAGAACTTAGTTGCAAAATGCAACTAGTTGCTCTCAATATCAAGAAAGGCTTTGTTTGACTTCTCATACGAATCTCCCAGATTTCTCACCAAGCCCCCATGCCACTCAGGGCCTTACAAGGTATTTTCAACCAAATATCCATTTCAGTATTTTGTTTAATTTCCATGCTGTTAGTGTCCACTTAAAATATAATCAATTTCCACACAGTAATAATAAAACTTTCTGAAGATCTAAAAAGTGACATTTTAGTAACTAATAGCGTACACGTTACTAACTATATCATACTTACATAGACTTTAAGTGGCATCTTGATAGCACTCACATTCCAAACTAAATCATTGCTGCTGTTCAAAACAAGAACCAACGTCTTGTTGACACTAATCGGCTGCACGTGCAAAGAAATCTGGAAGGATCAATTTACAAAACAATTAATGGCCCATATAACAAGACAGTCTCTGGAAAAGCTCAGCAAGTCTGGCAGCATCTGTGAAGAAAAATCAGTTAACATTTCAGGTCTGGTGACACTTCCTCAGAACTGTTTTTTATCTAATGGTCCATATAACATTGGTTAACTACAGACCCTCTTAGCAGGATAAATCTCTGCAATTGGGATAACTGATATCTTCTATACTAGATAAAACTTAATTGACTGCATATTGTCATACAAGTCCTACCTAAAAAGGTCAACTTGAAAAGATGGTGGAAAGATTCCATTTTTAGAGTGTACAGGAGTATTGCAGAAGAAGTGAGAGGAGAAGTCCCTAAGAGGACTTATCACACAATCTACCAAAGGTATTATTATGTAAAGAAGAACATCACATCTAGCATCACGTGAACATATGAATTATGAGCAGCAGTGGGCCACTCAGCCCCTTAGTCTGCTCTGCCATTCAGACCGTGGGTCATCTGATTACTCCACATTTCCTCCAATCCTTGAATAACCCTTACTTTATCAAAAACCCTATCTACTTTGGCCTTAAAAGCATTCATGAACTTTGCTTCCACTATGTTTTGAAAAAGGGAACTGCAAAGACTCAAGACCTTGTGAGGAAAAAGAAATCTCCTCAAATCTGTCTTAAACAGGTGGAAAGGTGTTGGTCTGGTGGTATTGTCACTGGACAGTAATCCAGAAACCCAGATAATGTTCTGAGACTCTGATTCAAATCTGGTCATGGGACATATTGGAATTTGAATCAATAGAAATTTGGAATTAAAGAGGCTAACGGTGACCATGAAACCATTGTCAATGGTCTTAAAATCTTATCCAATTCAGTAGCACCTTGTTGGGAAGGTAGCTGCCATCCTTCCCTCATCTGGCCTACATGTGGCTCCAGAACCACTACAACGTGGTTAACTGCTTTCTGGGTAATTAGGAATGGGCAAGGCAGGCCTACACAGCAACACCTATGTCCCATGGATGACCACTTATTTTGAAAAAAGTGATCTAGTTTTAAAATTATCCCACAAGTAACATCCTTTCCACTTAAACCCTTTCAAGGCCAGTCAGGATCTTATATGTATCAATCAAGTCATCTCTTACTCTTACTCCAGTGGTCAACAAGGCTGGCCTGTCCAACCTTTCCTCTTCAGACAACCTGCCCATTCCAAGTATTTGTCCAGTAAACTATCTTTGCGCTGCTTTCAATTCATTTAAATTTTTCTTTAAATAATGAAACCAATACCGTACACAATACACTTGATGTAGTCTCACCAATGCCCTGTATAACTGTAGGAAAATCTCTTTTTCATACTCAGTTCCCATCACAGTAAACAATAACATGCTATTAGCTTTCCCAATTACATGCTGTAACAATATGGTAAATCTCCCGAGTAGAAATCAAGGCTCAATTTCTATTGCGTGTGGAAGACACTCCTAAAATTCTGTAACAGTCACACTTTGACATTTGACTTTTCCATTTGTGGAAGTTCAAGAAATACATTATATATTTACAATATTTTGTTAATTATAAAAATAAAATTATAATAAAAATAAAATATTAAATACATGTACAGAAGTGATTGCATGTGCTTATCCATTTAACTATTTTTGGTGCACACTTACTGTAATCAAAATTTTCTACACAGGTTTTATTTTAGGAGATTATTTTCACTCCTGAGGCTGATAGCAGGAGTCAGATTATTACCTGGTTCATCCCACTTGCCAAAGTAGATTCCTCTGAATGGTGTGATTTTTGTTCAGGGATATGCGAGCTGGCTGGTTTCTACCAGTAGCTCCAGATGCAGATTGGAGCTGGTTGTGCCAAGGTTGGCTGTTCAAAAGACTTGCCTTTCTTCTCTGGGACTTTATTCCATTTTAGTCCTTCCATACGTCACCCTCAAATCCCACTTACCCACTCCTCTTGGGTCTTCCATGGTGCCACTCAAGCCTAGATCCTCTTACCTATCATGTTCCTCCCTCAAACACCTGCCATCGTCCCTCAGACCGCCTGTCCAACTCATGGTTACTTGTATGCTCATTGACCTAGTATGCCCACGTTCTGTACAGAACCAATTTTCTCTACAGTAACAATGGCATGTGTAGATTTACTTAAAAATCCAGTCCTAACTTTCTTAAAGAAAATCCTGCTGTTGGTTAGGCTGATAAGTGACAAGTAACATTCACATCACACAAATGCCAGGCAATGGCCACCTCCAAAAAGAAAGAATCTAACCATTGCCCACTGACATTCAATAGCATTACCATTGCTGACCCCCCACTATCAACATATGTGGGTTATCATTGACCAGAAAGTGAACAAACCAGCCACATATACACTTTGGCTACAAAAGCAGGTCTGGAGCCACGAATTCGGAGGTGAGTAACTCAGTTCCTGTCTCCCCAGTATCTGTTCACCATCTACAAGCCAGAACTCAGGGGTATGGTGCAATACTTTCCACCTACTTGGAATAGCCCAGTTCTAAAAACACTAAAAATGAAACCTTGATGTTCAGCACAAAGCAGTAAACACCACATCCAGCACTTTCAACACTTATTCCCTTCACCACTGATGCACACTGCTGCATTGTGCACTATCTACAAGATGCACCGCAGCATCACAACACAGCTCCTACAACAGTACATGCCAAACTAGCGCATCTAGCATCCAGAAAGACAATGGCAGCAGATGCATCAGAACACCATCACCTGCAAGAACCATCCCCCCTGCCACCCGCTGCCAAGTCCTCCACATTATACACAGCATCTTGACTTAGTATTACATTGCTGTTACTTCATGTTTGCTGGGTCAAAAATCACAAAACACCCTAACAGCAGCGTGCGTATTCCTATACTTGAGGACTGCAGTGATTCACAAAAGGGTTGCTCACCATCACCTTCTCCAGGATAAGTAGTGACTGTTTATAAATGCTGGCATAGCCAGAAACACTGAAATCCATTGAACGAATAAAAAAAATACTGTCAGTCAACTAGATCTGTAAATTAGTATAAACAGAAACTGATAAAAACTTGACTAAGCCTCTGTATCTTGTTTAAGTAAACATTGATCCAATGACAAAATAGATTATAGAATTGAAACCCCTATACCATAATAAAAATTGTCAATCTTCTCCCCAGCTTTGTTAACAGAAAAAGCCAGTACTTACACAGGAGTCTGGGCTCTCAACCACACTATGAAATAATCATGCAGGGTTATGAGGATAGGCTTGACAAGATTATTCTATGTAGGACCAACACGGACTCTGGGTTGAATGGCTTCCTGTGCCATTACAATTTTATGTTCCATATTTCAGTGGCCTCTTGAAAACTGTTAAGGACCTTTACAAATGGTGGGTTGGACCCTGCCTCAATTCCCAAAAAAAGACTGATCTATGTAATTTTCTAGTTTCTTCACATGCTACAAAAGAAAGTGCCTTTGCTTTTAATCGGATAATAGGACTTTTTGTGTATCATTCATTTATAATATCAAAACATAATTTGTCGTAAAAACACTATAAATCAAAAGCTGACAAATTTTCTTACCAAATGCCGCAGCCAAAATACAACTGTGCGGTTTATTGCACTCTGGTTTCGGCAGAAACACAGATCTTATGGGACTTGTATGTTGCCACAGAAATTGAATTCTACTGTTGGTTAGTGCTAATAGAAAGCTAGAACCAGAACAAAAACAAAGTAACCTACCATTGGAAATTTGCTCAGGAGTGCATGTTGATACATGAAGGAATGGTAAACGGAGATCAAAGGCAGAATCTTCCAGGCCCCCAACCCAACTGGCAGGTTTGCAGCAACAGAACCCCATAAAATCTCTCAGGTAGCCTTCCCACCACTCCCCTAACCTGTCTGCAATGCTTAAAAAGGGCAACTGGAGTCTAGGGTGGCCAGCCAGCCTGCCTGTGCTTCAAATAAAGCCCAAACAGCCACATCCTGCCTCAAATTTTGAGGAAGGCAGGAGGTGCCCAACAGTTCAGCTTTCTTAGGTCTCAAATGGGAGGGACATGCCACTATTACAGATCCCACTTAAAGATCTAACACCAACACCACACTCCATTCCAAGAGTCAAGCCCTAGATGTTTCCTCCCTGCCTGCCCTTCAAATCATGACCCCATTCCATGATATTTATGCTCCATTTATGTTCATGATACCAAATATAGTACAATATAGCTGTATTTTACATCATGCAAAATCCAGAGTTTAGTAACAAGACCAATACTGCACACAGTACTGATGTGGTCTCACCAGTACCCTGTATATCTAAAGCATAACCTGCCTACTTTTCTATTCAATTCCCCTCGCAGTAAACAATAACATTCCATTAGATTTTCTTGTTATTCATGCATACTAATCTTCTGTGATTCACTCACTAATACATCCAGATTGTTTTGCACCTTGGGGCTCTGCAGTGTCTCAATTTAGATAATATCCTTTATTTCTCGTGCCAAAATAGACTATTTAACATTTTCTCATTATAGTCCATCTGGCAGGTTTTTTTTTCCAATTTACTCGACAATCTGCATCCTTATATCCTCCTCACAACGTTTTTTTTCCTAACTATCTTTGAGTCATTGGCAAATTTAGTAGATCATAACTTGGATGAAGGAATTTAAAGTGTTTATTTAAATTATAAAAAGTTGAGGCTCTGCACTGATCAGTGACACATCAGTAAATACAGCCTGCCAATCAGAAAATGACCCATTTATGCCTACTGTTTTCTGTTAGCTAGCCAATCTTCTACCATGCCAAAAAACAACCCACTACATCTTGAGCTTTAATTTTCCATAATAGCTTTTGATGTCCATAGAGGTCTACAGCACATAAAAAGGCCCATCAAGTCTGCACTAGTCAAAGACAAACATCTAATTATCCTAAACCAATTTTCCAGCACTTGGCCCATAGCTTTTTATGCCTTGTGCGTCTAAATCCTTCCTAAATGTTACAAGGGTTTCTGCCTCTACCATACTTATGGCAGTGCAGTCCAGATTCCCACCACGCTCTGGGTGAAAGAAAATTTCCTCACATCTCCAAACCTCCTACCTTAAAAATCAATGCCCTGTCATTGATCTGTCCACCAAGAGGAAAGGTTTCTTCTTCTCTATCCTGTGCATGACCTGCCATTTCAATCATGTCCCCCTTAGTTTCTTCTGCACCAAGAAAAATAACCCCAGTCTATCCAGTCTCTCTTCATAACCAGAACAATCCAACCCAGGCAACATTCTGGTACGCCTCCTCTGCTCATTCTCCAGTACAATCACATCCCTCCCATAATGTAGATTCTAGAACTGCACATAATATTCTAATTATGGCCTAACCAACGTTTTATACAATTTTATACAACACCTCCCTGCTCTTAAACTTTAAGCCTTGATGAATAAAGGCAATTATCCCATATACCTTGTTAACCATGTTATCTAAATAAAGGAGTTTATTTAGTATTTAACTCACTGCCACATCTCTTCCAGGCATGCCCACCTTGAAGAAGTTCTGCTCCTGTCTCCAACGGGATTTCCGTTCCAATCTCTCTTCTTGCCCACCAACTTTAATTTCACTGTCGCTCCTGGTGTTTGACCATGTATTTGCCATAACTCGTTTCCACAGCCATATTACATTCCTCAGTGGCTGCCTGTTCTGAGAAAGGGTCACCGGACCCGAAACGTTAACTCTGTTTTTCCCTTCACAGATGCTGCCAGACCTGCTGAGCTTCTCCAGCAACTTTGTTTTTGTAACCATGTTATCTACTTGTCCTGCTACCTTAAGGGGCCAGCGTACATGCACACAAAGGTCCTGCTGATCTTCAGTGTTTTCCACAGTCCTATCATACATCAAGAATTCCCTTGCCTTTTTGTCCTGCCCAAGGGCATCACCTCACACTTCTCCAATTGAATTCCATTTGTCACCAATCAACCTATCCAACCAGCATGTCTACATCCTCCTGTAATCCAAGGCAACCCCCCCCTCACTATTTACCGCATTTTTATATAATCCATGAACATACTGATTAACCACCTCACGTTCAAGTCTAAAATCTATATACCACAAGCAGCAAAGGTCCCAACACCAATCCCTGCAGAACACCACTAGATACAGGCTTCCAAAACACCTCCCGACTCTCATCTCTTACCATCTACATTTTTTTTTATTCCCTCATGGGACATGGGTGTCGTTGGCTGGCTAGCACTTATTGCCCTTCCCTAGGTACCCTTGAAATGACTGACTTGCTAATGCAGAGGGCAATTGAGTGTCAGCCATGTTGTTATGGATCTGGAGTCACACGTAGACCAGACCAGGTGAGGACAGCAGATTTCCTTCCCTGAAGGATAAGAGTGAGCCAGATAAGTTTTTCCTACAATCAGCAATGGCTTCACGTAGGTAGATTCTTAATTCCAGACTTTTTTCATTGTATTGAAATTCTATCAACTGCCCTGGTGGGATTTGAACCTGGATCCCCAGAACATGAGCTGAGTTTCTGAATTAACAGCCTGGCCATAATACCACTAGGCCATTGCCTCCCCATACTTCCTGCCACTCAGCCAAATTTCCTTGGTTCCCTTGAGCTCTTCATTATCAGTCTCTCTTGTGAGACCTCATCAAAAGCTTTGCTGAAGTCCAGCTTATCAAATGCATTCTGGAAATCTAAGTACAGTATACCCACAGGTTCCCCTTTATCTATAGCACTGTAACTTCCTCAAATTACACAAATAAATTGAATAAGCATTATTTTCCATTCAGAAAACCATAGCCTGATTACCTTGAATTTTACCAAGCACCCTCCTATAACATATATAATAACAGCTTGTAACATTTCCCTCATGTCAGATATTAAGCTAACTGGCCTGTAGTTTCCTATCTCCCGCACTTCAGGAATAAGAACTGCTACATTTTAATTTCCCAATTTAATGTAACTTACCCCAATCTAAGGAATTTTGAAAAATTAAAGCCAACTATCAAGCATCACAATAGTCACTTCTTTTAAGATCCTAGGATGAATTCCATCAGGACCCACAACTTTGCTGGAGTCCCTCCCTCCTCTCCATTTCATGGAATTTCTATTTTTGGATTGTTATTTGCATCCTCTATTTTCCATTGTTAAATGGAAATGTTGTAGAGAGGTTACAAGAATCTGTAATTAGGTACAGAGTGACTAAAGACTTGAACAAATATGAACCAATTAGAAAGCCAGCACAAATCCGTAAAGAAAAAGCCAAAGAACTGTGGATTCTGGAAATTAGAAAGAAAAACAGAAATCGCTGGAAAAACCCAGCAGGTCTGGCATCATCTGTGGAGAGAAATCAGAGTTAACATTTTAGGTCCAGTGACTCTTCTTCAGAAAATGGTGAAATTATGGCATGCTTGGAAGAATTATTGGGCATGTAGCACTGGGTTCCTAATAGAAGAGGTCTTTAATATAAATTTTATATAGTGACCATCTTCTTTTTCATTTGACTTTAGGAATGAGAAATCTATGCAGTTCTCAATGCTGAGACTGCACCACATTTTAGTAGACAATACTTGATTCAATGGACTGTTCTAATGATTGACCCAATGCTCTCTCTCAAGAGTAGGCAAATGAGCTTTTTAATTCATAGTGTAACGTGTACACAGTTGGAAACCCTTACTTGCATTTTTCTTCAAAGAAGCAAGAAAGCTACAATAACAAGTAATGTCTTGCTGAATCTTTTTCTCCCAGTCAATGATATTTTTAAAAAAAGAATACCCTTGCTTCACATGTGATCTAATGACTGTTAACAAGCATTTCCTGTAATGAAATACTTTCATAACCTTATTACTTGGAAAGTTTGTGTCAGCTACAAGTTTGCGTCAGCTACAAGTTTGCAATAACTCTAAATCTATTCATTTCAGCTTCTCAAATTGTACCATTTTTATCTGAAGTATTTTTATCTCCTTTAATCATACCACATGTGAAACTAGGTAACTGAAATCAACATATACAAAAACAATTAAACTATTGGGCTAGAATTTCTAATTTTAGCTTGTGTTTCTTGCAGATATAATTGTTCTCTGCTCGAACATTTTTTTTTACATTTTGCTTTCATACTCTATGCTTATGTAAACTGGTTTCCCATTATTCTTCGATTTCATTTTAAAAGAGACGGCTCCACACTACGTTGGGCACTCTGCCAGCTATGTACTTGCCAGACACAGGACATCACCTCTGCCTCTTTATATTTAGGATCTGTCTACCAGATCTATTTATACAAAGTATTGTGATTAATAGTAAAGTTTATATAATTTTCAAATGAGCAAGATGAATGAATGACGATTAGAAGGACAAAATCAAAAGGCATAGAGCACACTCATGCTTCTGCGATCACTCACATTTAACGCAAGGAGAATTTCGGAATGAGGCTATAAACATCATAGTGGCAAATCTTTTATCCAGGTTTCTCCATTGGAAATTCACAATTGGAAAATTGCCCTTCTAAATCATGAATCTGCTTACTGTGCATGTTGAAATAAGATGAACTTGCTATAACTGCATAAAATCTATACGTGTGAGATATTAAAGTGCAATTTTAAATTGATTACAGTTAAATCAAAACTGCTAGTTAGAAGATAGTTCAAAAATGTAATGCAAATAAGCAGATTGGAATTATACTGATTATTTCATTATGTTGCCTGTCGCATGGCAAATTTTCAAAATTAGGCTTGCTTTCGTTGATTATTTTATAACCTTTGAAAATAATTTAATAACGCTCCCAAAAATGAATAGTGAAAACATCTCTGAACTTGCAAATTCCAGCTTCATAGTGGGGTCTATTTTTACCACATTTGGAAAGATCCTAATATGAAGCTGTGGTGAAGGATTTTAGGCTGGGTAATAACATCATTTTCACATGTATCTTCAGACAAATATAACTTGTAAATAATTTTGGTCTTAATTGCAAATATGTGTGAAAACAAGTTTTTCAAACAAACAGTCATGTCTTATTAGCAGAGAATCAATCTTTATACTGTCATCAAAATAATCCCCCAACAATAAACACTTAAATTTTAAGTACCTGAAGGAGTTTTGTGGTAGGAGGTAGAATTAAGTTGATAGTATAAACAATTTCGTTAGCTGTAGACCTGCCACTGGACATACAGCTTTGTAACAGAGGGAGTTGCTTAAGGTGCGAGATGGTGATGGGATGGTTTTCTCCAATCTTTCCAACTTTACATTCACTGGTTGCCACAGGGCCTATTGAGCACAAAACAGTAATATTTTAGTTATTTCAAAACATAAAAGGGGAGAAAGCGTCAGTTCAGACTAGAAAATTTAACAATATAAAATGCATAAGATATAATCAAAAAATTAAATTATATATAATCTCCATTTATTGGATCAAAATGATAGCTTAATGTTTGACATCTTATGTGAACTGATGATTTTTCTGACCATTTGTAATTATGAAGATGTTTAACACAATGCTATTTCCAGTTTTAAAATGTAAAATGAATATCATCTTCTCATTAAGAAATCCCAAGATATAATTTGTCATTATAAAAGTTAGAGTTATGTTAAACCAAATCAAACACCAGAAACAATTAAAGTATAAAGAGATAAATATTGTTTTGTGCAATGGACATACATTTTCCTGCCAACATTTTGGAATCAAACAGATCAACCTATATTTTTAGAGTGCATGTATTCCCACCAACATTTCCAGTTAGCAGAATCCAGTCTGCAAATAGCAAAGTCAGCAAATTATTCTATATCAAAAAGCCAAGATAAGTTTTATCTAGGTATGTGTGACATCCGTCCTGTTTGATTGCTATGTTGTCAATACCAAAAGTAAAGAGGTCAAATATTGTGTTCTGCGTAAACACTCAAGATTCTAGCTGAACTTAGAGCAATGGCAATGAGAATGTGAAAGAGAAAACATGTTAAAATAATGTGTGTACACATGAAATGACAAAATTCCACTTCCAGAGTGATTTATTTTGTCTTTTCACAACAGTACCTTTCATGGCGCAAGGTAATTTTCACAGGCCCAGAATGGAACTTTGTGACCAAAGTACAAATTGTGGAATCAAACAAGGAGTCACCGTGGCCAATTGGTGGTATCCTGAATTTTTCAGTTGTTTGAATCCAAATTTTGTAGCCAAACATGTCCTGACTGATATTCTTCCTAAGAAAGTACCCACCCAAATCATATCTCTTTACAGGTCCCAATTGACCTGTTCTTTATTTCTTTTAGACCTTCATTTGTAGATTTCCAATACTTCCTGCTACCTTTAGCACTTATCCCAAAAATCTGCTTGCATTTGTGTTACTGCAACATGAGCAGCAATATAACGAGGGCAGACTTCTTGAAAAATTAGCTTCTGGTGAGAGATGACACAGAGGTTGAATAAAATTTACTGAGTTGCTAATGGATGGGTCACATATTTAGTACTCACTTGACAGTATTCAACAAAAGTGGTTCATTTTGCTCGCATTAGATAGATGCTACAATTTCACCTACTTGGTGCAAGATTCATGCAACAGGATCACAAGCATTTAAGGCCATAAGACATGGGAGCAGAAATTGGGCCAGTCGGCCCAGCGAGTCTGCTCCACCATTCAATCATAGCTGATAAGTTCCTCAACCCCGTTCTCCCCGTAACCCTTGATAATCAAGAACCTATCTATCTCAGTCTTAAATGTACTCAATGACCTGGCCTCAACAGCCTTCTGTGGCAGTGAATTCCATAGGTTCACCATTCTCTGGCTGAAGTTTCTCCTTATCTCCATTCTAAAGGTCTTCCCTTTACTCTATGGCTGTGCCCCGGGTCCTAGTCTCTCCTACAAATGGAAGAAGCTTCCCAACATCCACTCTGTCCAGGCCATTCAGTGTTTTGAAAGTTTCAATTAGATCCCCCCTCATCCTTCTAAACTCCAATGAGTTTAGTTCCAGAGTCCTCAAACAGTCCTCATATGTTAAGCTTTCCATTTCTGGGACCATTTGAGGTCAGTAGCCAGGTGCAATTGCAATGTAATCAGGTAACCTAAGCATGCAATAACTGTACGGATGCGATAAAAACTTATTGAACAATGTCACTTTACTATCACACTAAATAATGTCAGACAACTTACTAGTAATTTTTTTAAGCATCATTCGTTTTTTAAAACATTTTCTTGTTGCAAATGTGTCGAAAAATAGAAACATTAATAAAGGGAAAAGTAGTAGGCCATTCAGCCCTTTAAATCTGCTCCACCATTCAATATGATTATTGCTGATCATCCTATGCAGTACCCTGTTCCTGCTTTTGCCTTACATCCTTTGATCCCTTTAACCTCAAGAAATATGTTTACCTCCTTCTCAAACACGATCAATCAATGGTTTGGCCCCAATAGCTTTCTGTGGCAAAGAATTCTATCGGGTCACCACACTGTGGGTGAAGAAATTTCACCTCATTTCAGTCCTAAATGTCCTACCCTGTATTCTTAGACTGTGATCTCTGGTTCTGGACTCACCAGTCCTCCAGAATACCGTTCTTCATTTACCCTGGTCTAGTCCTGTTAGAATTTTATAGTTTCTATCTGATCCCCCACTTCTTCTGAAATCCAATGAATATAATCCTAAACAAATCCAGTTTCATTTCATATGTCAGTCCTGCCATCCCAGGAATCAATGTGGTAAATCTTCATTGCCCTTCCACCACAGCCAGAACATCTTTCACCTGATAAAGACACCAAAACTACAGTGTTCCAAGTGTGGTCTCAACAAGGCCTTATACAACTGCAGCAAGATATCCCTGATCTTGTATTCAAATCCTCTCGCTATGAAGGCCAACATATCATTAGCCTCCTTCACCACCTGCTGCACCTGCTTGCTTGCTTGCAGTGACTGGTGTACAAGGACACCCAGTCTTGTTGCACCCACTCCCCTTTCCAATCTATCACCATTCAGATCTTAAATCAGCTTTCTTGTTTTTCTCACCAAAGAGGACAACCTTACCCTTATCCATACTATAGTAATCTGCCATGAATTTGCCCACACTCAACTTGTCCAAATCACATTTCTCGGCATCCTCCTCTAAAATAGTTCTTAGCTACAACATGCATGTAAAAAAATGTATGCTGCCAGACCATTTGACTCCTTGCGCAGACTAGTTAGCTCAGTTGGCTTGGTGCCCAATGTGAATAAGAAGTGTTGACAACAGCACAGGGTGTGATGAAAGGTGTATGATTTATATATGTATCAATTTACAGTTTGGATTTTAAAATAGTGGCTTGAGGGTGTTGGTTACTTTCGCGAAGGTTTTTTAAAAAAAAGTTAAACAACTCTTCCGGAACAGTCACCAAATCCAGTACGTGCAAGACAGCAGGAAACACGCTGGAGTGTTAACTGAAAATGTTTATACTGGGATGATTTACAACAGGTGGAGTAAAAGCTATTAGTTTATTTTTGGTTCAGAATAATTAAGGCTTATGTTAACTTGGCAAATGTGGAAAGCAAAAGTTTAGGAGATCGAAATGAGGGCTGAAACAATCAATCAATCATAGTATCTTTCCAAGAAAGATTCTCTTTAAATATTCTGGAAAAGAAGATATGTTAACTCAGTACAAAAGTTTAATTTGTGCAGCTTCTAAACTAGGAGAGTTTGTTTAGAAATCTGCAGGTTATCAGAAGCTGAGAAAGTCTACTCTCTCATTTTTGAGAGTACACACACAAGACTCCATAGTTTGCAGAACAGAAAACTGGGCAAATCAGTTAAGTCAAATTCAAAAATTTGACAGTGATGTAATTTCTCTGTATGTGAATCACAGCAAAAAGTGGTGATGTTGGGGAATAGGTTAAAGCTTTGTCTTGCTGGGTGTTTTAAGGCTTCTTTACCTAGATTCCATACATAGTACACAAGATGAAAACAAAATAAAGATATTAACTTCTGTTCTAAAGAAGCTACATCCTCATCCGACTGTTTTAGTGAATAAGCACATTTCAAAAAAAAATTAAGGTATGTGTAATCAGATCAGATTTCATTCTGGAATCTGGCTAATCTACTAGCATCAACAGCTATGATCATAACAGGAATATATTCCAACTCCAACTCCAGCAGATACAGGATCCACTTCCTTTTTTTACTCATATCACAACAATGTGTGTCTGACTTGCCTGGACAGAGAACTCGAGAAGTAGTCCTACGAATATGCATTCCTCAAACATAGTCAGTTGCAGATACCAGAAAGAAAATTTGGCTGCAGTGCCATTTGGATACAGAATAGAGGAATGAGATTTCACCCATTGTGCATCATCGTTGCACCTGTAAGATTCTATTATTCAACAGGGTAAAATAAATCTATTTGTTTTAAAAAAAATACTATCTTGGACAAAGCTAAGGAGACCTTCACCTTTTTATATATTCTATGCACTCTTGACTCAATATAGGATGCCAAAATGTAACAGTAGATTCAGATGTGAATCAGCATAAATAGGAAGCTGGGAGAAATAACTCAATTTCTCTGGTACAAATTTAACTATAACCTTGTAAGACACTGAAATCTTAGCTAGGTCTTTGATGTTGTAAAGACAGACAACATCTTCATTCATTGTAATGGGCTGTAAAACTAGCATCAAAAGTTACAACTTCTGGAACAAACCACAGAACAAGGGAATGAGATTCTCTGATGCAGCAGAGGAGTCTGGATTAAGTGGAAACACAGAGATATCACTGGGGATAATCAATGCCAGGAACATCGCATTACAAAGTTGCAATGCAGGAAAATATTCAATCTAATTAGAATTATAAAAAAAAAGTCAAAATACATTGTGCTAGATGATCCATTCGTAGCTTCACTAATTTAAATTAATAGTCTTCCACCTTGTTCTAAAATCTTTGCATCACACATCCTCCTCCTCATGGTTAAACACACAGCACAATTGCAAGCTGCACTTTGTAAGTCACAGGCAATAGACCACAATCTCCAAACTCTTACAAATGCAAAGAATGATATGTAGTATAAAAATGTCATTTTTGAAAGTTTAATTTTACTATAGTGGTGGATGAACGTGGCTGATTTCTGTGGGTTTTTGTTAATTTTAAAAATAAAATCAGGTTCAGAATCCTAATGAAACAGTAGCCTTACTCCATAATTATTCAGAAAGGGACGGCTGTAGAGCCCTTTGGAAGCGTTAATGAAAATTTGTTTACAACAGGTGGATCAATATTGAAAGAGATAGTAAGAACTGCCGATGCTGGAGTCAGAGATAACAG